AACCTCTATACAACGAAAGGAGACTGCGACCACACAAAGGGCCACACCATCTTGGTCTTCATACCTTCGAAAGCTCAGCACGTTTTAACAGGAAAGGAGAGAGGAAGTCCCGCGTCAACATGAATATCGTATAAAATCCAATCGGCGGCAGTACAACCAGTTTCATCCGTCCTGATCTGGTGAGATCGACCAACGAATCTCTCATGCACTTTCATACGAAATGAAGGTCCCCCTAACAATACATTAAACTTTTGCTGATGAAAGTCCGATTGCCCGATTTTAGCAACTTGATGATATTCATGCTTATTACTTCAGCCTTAAACGGCAAGAAATCTCTGGTTCCATTTATATGTTGTCTAGACAAGCAACTTTTAAGTAGTACCTCTAATTATAAATATTTACCAAATGAATCCTGCATTATTTAATTCTCTTTCCGTCATATCAAATTTACTCGTAATGTCAAAAATATCGTTTGTACACTCTTTAATACTTTGCACATTTCACATTTTTTGCAATAGTTCGTTACCTTTCACTAAACATCTTGATTTTGGGGTCAACTGGTACTGAGTTAAAACAAGACTCCAAACTGATTGATGGGCTACTTATTTGAGACAGTAAATATAAAACATATTTTATCAACATATAATTGGCTACTATCCCTTTTTCCCATGTATTTACCTATTTATTGGCCTGTATGCTTCAATAACATACTGCATTTCCCACTATATGTTCACCTTTTAGGCTTCCGTATGATGGTGGCGGAGGGTGGATTGCGCGCTCTATGGCGTGGTAATGGCGTCAACATCCTTAAAAACTGTCCAGAGAGTGCCATTCGCTTTGGCTTGCATGGCCACCTTCGCTGTCTTCTCTTTCCCGGGCAGGCTGAGTTGACTCTGCGAGAGCGAATCACCGTGGCCAGTATGGCGGGAGCGGCTTCACTCACCTGTGTCTACCCGGTCGAGGTATCTTTCGCGTGCGTGTTTATTTGTGTTGTTTAAACTTAAATTCAAGCATTTTATTCATTATTGAATACTTTTGGGTAAATAAAAGGTTTTTTGTGCACTTTGCTTCAGGTTTTATCAGCAGTATATAAAATGTAATGCTGATTAATTCTCTTAGCAAAGGTTTTCTCCAACTTAATCTACTTTACTAGAAGTTTTCGTATTCTTGGTTAGTGTGAGAGCTGGAGCTTTGCAAATAGCGCTTAAGTCTAAATGTCCACTATTGTTCGGTCTTTAAATAAATTCGAGAAAAGGTTTGATTTTACCATTGAATTTCTTTATAACAAGCTTTCATCTCGCTAGCTTTGCTGTTGCTTTAAATTCATACGGGTACCATCAGCACTTCCAGCAGAAGATTAGGTGTTCAATCCGTTTTAACTTTCCGATGATTATTTTAATCAGAAATGTCTTAACATTGATTTTTAGTTTAAAGTCAGACATTTATAGCAAACTCACATATTATTTTGCATCACAAGTCTTACCATGCTTGGATTAGTAATCAAAGATAAAGTGCACTCACAAAAGTGCACGACAACAAATGTGCTTTGTATATATATATATATATATATCACTCTCTTTCTCATTCGCATTGTTGATCACACTCTAATTTATGCGTGGAATTCAAATTGTGTCAAACTCTAATTCCAAGAAAGCTTAAACCATGGATCTAGTTTTTCTTTTTTTAACCTCTTCATACCT